TCTGATTAGCCACATGATTCCCGAAGATCAAGTAACAATTATTAGTTATAAACGGTTGTTGTATCCACTACTAGAAAAAACACTTTTAATGACAGACAAAAACACGTCTGTTTTAAAAGTATGTCATAGTTTATAAAATTTCAACAATTTATCATTGAAAAAAAATGTATGTCGTATATTTATATTTGTTTTTTGTGAAAATTTACGGGTATAAAAATACAATTCTTATTTAGTGTCTAAACTTGAAATAAAATAACATTAAGTATTTAATTAAGTTAATTAATTTAGTTTTAAAGTAAATTACAAGAATAGTCCTTAAAGTTTGAGGTAGTTTACATGTTTCATCTTTAATCATATTCTTTTCGTTGGAGGTTTCTTTTGTTTTGTTTATCCCTATTATCGTTTATAACATTTAGCCATTAGTAAAAATCTGAAACAATGGTTATTAAATAATATATCAATATTATAGTTCAATACATATCGATTGAAGGCAAACGGGCAACAAGCTGCGCCGCTAGCCCTTTCTGGATGGCAAAACCAATTCTTTTGAAAACAACATTTGTGGATCTAGGAGATATGACATTAGAATGCATGACCCGTTGGACTCTATTAAGGAGCTCCACCGCCTCTGGTGTGAGAAAACCAAATGTATCGAATGCAAAAGGAACAAATACATGTTGATTTTCTATACATGCATTCTCGTGCTTTACCACTTTGCACGCAGCGGCTTTCAAAGCGGCATGCCCAGCTGTGAAACCCCCGCTCCCCAAACCAACGAGAGGAGAGACCCCAGTAAGATCCACGCACGCATGCTTCCCTCCTATCCATCCAAAGACCAAAATGTCAGCCGGTCTAAGTGTGGACCTGTCATCCTGCGGGTCCGTCAAAAAGTTCACTGATGCTTCTTTCTTCACAGAAATACCAGCACGCCGACAAGCATCAAAGAGAACATCCCGAACCACATCATGTCTATACTTGAAACCAGGGAGCTCTCTACAATGAACCGCGTGTTCCCCAAAGGTATCCAAACATGCCTTGCAACAAACTGGGCATATCTCGTCAATTGGGAATATGGGAATCATGAGGCGGTAACGAAGGATAGTTCGGTACTCCACAGGAGACATATGCTGGACAAGACCATCAATAGGGATAGTTAGCAGAAAATCCTGAGCATGAGGCGCTCGCAGACACTCAAAGACTGCTTTCTGTCTGACAGTCATGTCGAAGTCGACTTCCATATCTTGGACGATTTTGCTAAAAAGGGCACACGCCAAAGCTTTTTGGGATTTAGGGGGGGCGGTGTCCTTATTAGTGAAACCGCTACAGTCAAATCCCGGAATCGTATCGCGAAGACGAGTCATAGCACATAGGTAATCCGAGTCCATACCACATATGCCACTGTCACGTAAGATGTGGTCTTGTAATGCCCAAGATTGGGCCCTCGAGGCTACAAATGCGTAGGAGGAAACCTCGTAGGCCGAGTACAAACCCAAACCACCGAAACGAATAGGTAAGGAAGCCAAGCGCCACTGAATGTCTCCAAAGAAGGGGCCTCCACATACCACCATATCCTCGATAGACCTGCGCAATCCTTTGTCAAAGAATAACGCTGCCTCTTCTATGTGTACCGGCTGGCATGTCCTTAAACCAAAGAAAAGTTTTGCAATGCCCATACATGATCGAAGAAAAAGGAGCTCACTCTGCGGGTCACATAGTTGTGGAAGAGGGCCCATCAAATCAACAACATTGACCGCTCTATTCATTGCCAGCTCGCTAATAAACCCCGCGTCTCTGCTAACAGCCCCCCCAAGGAGCTTCACCCCCAAAGAAGGTCTCCCTATATTCGTTGGGAATAAATCGGCATGAAACTTCCTACCATCACATGAGGGCCAAAAAATCTCCGTAGTCTCCCTATATTCGTTGGGAATAAATCGGCACGAAGCTTCCTACCATCACATGAGGGCCAAAAAATCTCCGTTTTCTTGATGTTCAACTCAAGACCCAAACCTAGATCATGCAACCGAATTATGTTCAACACTCTAGCCACCTCCTCTGAATCCCCAATGACAGTCCCATCATCTAGATACCAAGCATGGAGAAGGAGCTTACAATTGTCTCTAATCTTGTGCACAAGCGGGTGCAAAACGAGGGCAAAAAGAAGAGGGCCCAAGGGGTCACCTTGCTGCACCCCAGTGGCAGACCATATATGTTGGTCTCCGATATAAAGTCTCGCTGCTTGCCCGTACAAGAAATTCACCCACAAAGAAATGGAAGGGCACATCTTCTTAACCTCGTGGAGCAATGCTGATCGATCCACCAGGTTAAAGGCATTCGAAAAATCCACAGTCAGCATTACAAGAGACCCATCGGCATGGTGTTCACTCAACACCCTATTGGCACTGTGTAACACAGCCTCAGCACCGCCAGATACACCAACCCCGAACTGAAAATCATTAAGGTACTTGGCCATTTCTTTACCCACACCTTTCATGGCAACCTTGGAAACCAGACGTCTCCATATAGTGCCTACTGCAATCGGACGGATCCCGTTGTCAGGTTTAAGTAGAGGCGTGAGAGGAGCGGATGCAACAAACTCTGCCAAAATGGTTGGACATCTTCCCGCTAACCATAAATTAACAACTGAAGTGATAGCATGTATGAGATCTATGGCAATAGCAGACCCTTCTCCACAAAGGGTGTCTAGTAAGTGTTGAGCCCTCAAGCCATCTCTCCCGCAAGAAGTTCCTTTAGGGAAGGATTTGATGCAACCAAATACACCGTTAAAGTCTGCTACAAGGGGAGGTTTAGAAATTATGGGGCTTGGCATGGATGGGGGTGGTCTGAAAGGGTGTTTGTCCTCCAAAGCTTTAATAGTATCACTATTATATGGTGCAACACCCGATGAGCATAACACTTTCACTGCTGCGATAAAATGACCATCTGCAACCTTACGGAGACACTGTCTGATGTTGGTGTTACTTGATGTAGCCTCCTTCTGAAGGATGCCTCCACCCTGTCTCATAGCTCCAACCTCAGGATTGTCTAACATATTTTAAACTAACTTTGTGATACCACCCTCTTTCCCCCATGTATCCAAGGACTTCAGGATGGAGCTTTGCTGTAAAGATTTTCTATTCCCAGACCTACATTCTTGTCTATTTTTGGGTCTAAACACCTGCAGTGTGCATCGAGGAAGAAGTAACAAACACATCCATGCCTCAACCGAGCCAGGTTGGGCAATCACCTTGTAAAGAGCGGTCTTCAAAGCCTGAGAGAAAGCAAGACGACAACTATGGGGGATACTCTTGACAGTAGTGATAGGCTCTTTAAAAACACGATCAAGGAGCGCAACATCAAAAACCAAACCCCCAAGAGCATTTGTCACCGACTCTTTAGTTGACGGATTTAGAATACCGACAATATAACGACTCGAGCCGTCATCCCCTGTAACAAACCTCACACGACCATCCGGGTGATGACAATAACGGCTAAGAGCCTGCATATATCATTCTCTTTTCAATTTTTTTATCACATGTATTTTATTATATATTTATTTAAAAGAAAAAGTTGGGTCCACACCTACTGCACACCCCACCCATTCTATACGTGATATCTCTATCCATCTTTCTTCTGACCCCTAAATCACCATATACCTAAATCACCATGGCCACCGAAAACCTCCGCCAGCCGACGACCGACCCTGAAAGTCCAACTGCATCCGCCACCGTCACGTTTACTCCGCCTCTCTCTATCTCTCTCTCTCTCTCTCACACACACCACCGTCACTCCTTTAGTCATTGTCCACCATGATTTTCCAACCACCACCATCACCGCTTCAGTCATCGTCCACCCTCACTAGATCGTGAAGCACATCATCTCTATTTCCGTCATTTTTCACCAATCGCTGACACGCCACTGGTCACGCCATCGCCTTCGTTGCTTTTACATCGATTCGAGACCTCGGTGCCCTATATTCACTTCTTTTACTTCCTTTCCTCTACTATCACTAGATGGATCGTATCACTCTATTCTTAATCCACGTTTCTTGAAGCTCGGGCAGAGCCTAATCAAACATGGCACAAGGTATTCTCTCTCTCTCTCTCTCTCCCTCTCTCTCTCTCTCAACTTCGTTTGTTCGCATTTCACTCAGGTGCAATTTGAGTACTTGTATTCAATTGATGAATTTGCAAATCAAGACAAGTTTTCATTCCCACACTTTGTAAATTTCACAAGTTAACTTGAGATTTAAATTCTATGTACGCTTGAGTTGTTACTAAATGTTTTACTAAGTGGTGTTGGGAAGATTTTTAAATGTTGATCGAGTTAATCCAGTAGTATCTCGGACTGTGATGAAGCAATGGATAATTTTTCATCTCTGATTACTCAGAAAACTCATGTTGATATGAGCAATAACAGAGCTACATTGGAGATACTCCTTAATTTTGTTAATGTGGATATTAGTTACTACTAACACATACTTCGTTTTGGAATATGCAATTAGTGTTTTTACTTATTAGCTTTCTTGATTTACTGCAACCTGACATTTGACATTTCTTACAGATTATGGATTTGGAGTAGTCAATTCAAAGGTGAAGATAATCCATTTGGATATTAGTTACTACTAACACTAAAACTTGAGATCCATTCTTCCATTGCTACAGATGAATCAATCTCAGTTATCTTTCAAGAATTGCAGGTAGTTTTATAATATATTTAAAAAAAAGATTGGATTGAATATATTATTTATTAGCTTTAAAACCATTTATAGGATTATGTGAGTGATCCCGATAGGATATTATGTTTGAATTACAGGTTTGGGATCCAAAACCATCGAGTTATGTTTGAACATTCTATAGTTCAAACAACACACATTTATTATCATTCTTATTCCAGGCACAAACATGTGATGTTGGATGCTTATGATCAACAATGTGATGAAGCAACGATGATATTTTCTGAATACCATAAGCGACTTCGCCTCTATGTTAATCAAGTCAAGAATGCTTAAGATACTAGACACAGATTCTTCCATGGAAGTTGTCACGAGTTTCCAAATGAACAACAAAAAAGAAGACGTTTACTCCACTGTAAAAGGGTCAAAACCTGCAGACGATGTAATTCTAACTGAAACAAACAGGGAAAGAAACATACGCAAGGCATGTGAATCTCTAGCAGTACAAATGATTGACAAGATTCTCTCATCTTTTCCTGCATACGAAGGAAATGGTATCCATCTAAATCCTCAAATGGAAGCTGCAAAATTAGGTGTCGATGTTGATGGAGATATACCCAATGAAGTGCAAGATATAATTGTGAATTGTCTGAAAATCCCTCAGCAAATACTTCTTGCCATGACCACTTACATACACAGGTTGAAATCATTAATGACAAAAGAAATAGAGAAAATTGACATTAGAGCTGATGCAGATATGTTAAGATATAAATATGAAAACAATAGAGTAATGCATGATTCTTCTCCTGATGTAAACTCACCATTCCCCTTTAAAGTTTATGGAAATGGGAAACTTGGAGTTTATATGCCTTTAAAAGGAACTTAAAATCAACTTCTTGAACGACATGTATTTATCTTTCTCTCTTCCTTAAACTACTCTCATCTTTTCACTTCTTTATAATGAAATCCATCTTTTTGTTTACAGAAAGCACATGTTCAACAATTTGTTGCTGCAGAAGATGAACTCAATAAAGCTGCAGAAGCTAGAAGCATGTGTCAGAAGCTAAAAGTGTTGACTTTGACCCTTCACATTCTCTTAATGTTGGAGGAACCTCACAAACCATGAGTAGTCTCAGATAATTAGAGGTAGTATTAATAGCTATATTTATTTTATTTTATCCATTTGTTTTTATACAACTGGAGGTTTGGGAGAAAGAAAGAGAAGCTTCTGGATTGAAAGCAAGTTTGACAACATTAATGTCTAAAGTACAACAATTAAACATGTTATGTGAAGAAAGAAAAGAAGTTGAAGATTCTTTAAGTAAAAAATGGAAGAAAATCGAAGAGTTTGATGCTCGAAGATTAGAGCTCAAATCCATCTACAGTGCTCTACTTAAAGCAAAAAATGTAAGATGAGTTTTAAGTTTTACTTTTCCATGATGAGGATATTTATGTCTTTTTGACAATGTTGTAGGATGTTGTTGCATTTTGGAGTCAACAAACATTAGCTTCCATCAACCCCACAAGTATTGTTGGAGTCAATGGATGGCATCTACTAGACCTGATGCTGTCATTGCTGCAGAAAAGAATGCTGCCCTTTTGACTGCTCGAGCTGGTGCCCGAGACCCCTCTGTTATTCCTTCTATTTGTCGTGTTTCTGCTGCCCTTCAATATCCTGCATGTGTGTGTGTGTGTGTTTGTGTGTGTTAGAGTGATGTGACATTACTAAAATACCCTTGGTTAATTTTAGGGTTAGAAGTTTCGGATTCCGGCTTAGCATTGGTGTTGGGATCCATGGAATTCTGTTTGAAGTTGCGGGGTTCGGAAGCTTGTGTTTTGGAGGACTTAGCAAAAGCAATCAATCTGGTGCATATCAGGAGGGATCTTGTGGAAAGTGGTCACACATTGCTAAACCATGCTTATCACAATCAACAAGAATACGATAGGTATGAGGGTGGAACTGGAATCTGTGATTCTGACGGAATCGGAATCCGTGATTCGGACGGAATTGGAATATGTGATATCATTCCGATGTCAAATAAACGGAGTTTAATTCTATCTGAAGGTGGAACCAGAATCAGTGATTCTGACAGAATTGGAATCAGTGATTCTGATGGAATCAGAATCTGTGATTCTGTTGGAATCAGAATCTATGATTCCATTCTGCTGCCAAATAAACGGAATTTAATTATATCTGAAGGTGGAACCAGAATCAACGATTACGACAGAATTGAAATCAGTGATTCCGATGGAACCAAAACCTTACAAAAACATCAAATGAAAACCAAAATTGTAAGAGAACCTTTTGACATTATGGTTAGTGTAATGGAATGTATTTTTGTATATGTATGATATCTTATTTTGCATTATTATACATTAAATGTGTAATTTAGTTTGTTTAATATTTGGTACAGATTTAGAATATATATATATATATATATATATATATATATATATATATATATTATATATATATATATATATATATATATATATAACCATGACATACAAAATATGTCGTAAAACTATGTCATATAGAATGTCATAAATGTCTGTCATAATTACAAGAATGTTACTATGACATACAAAGTCAATCGTAAATGTATGTCGAAAATGTATGTCGTATATGTATGTATTAATTGTGGGTCATAAATGTCTGTCGTAAAATTTATGACAGACTAAATGCCTGTCATTATCCTTTATGACATGGCTTTCAATGACAGACATTTGTCTGTCATGTATAGGCATTTACGACAGACAATGTTTGTCAAGGAAAGCCTTTTTTCTAGTAGTGATCTAAACCATTTATAGCTTAGATCATCATCTCTTTGCTCAGATATAATTTTCATATTGGTTCCATCATGTGCTTCTTATAGTTCTTTTATTTTTGTTATCTGTTTTGATTTATTAGTAAAACTTATATATTCTCATCTTTTAGGTTCTTCCAAAACCAACTAATGTCTTTTGAAGAAGAGGATTGTGTATAACTAGCGGCTATGGTGTCTACATTCAAGTTGATGTTGTTTGATAACATAAACTCCCTTTAATTTAACATTTATATGGGGTTAACAAGTACCTTGTAAAACTGGGCAGCTTCTGGTTCAATCATGTAATTCTTATATCATGTGTTTTTGGTTTAGTTATTTGATAACCATGGTGTTATTGGTTAAATTGATATTCATATCATTATATCAACTTTGTTATTATTTTCTGATTATGTATTTTATGTTTTTAACTTTCTCATCGAGTATCGTTTTTACACAATAATATCTGTATAGTCCTACATAGCTACTGTGGAGTCTTGGTCTAAATCTCATAAATGCTTACAAAGTGTCTATTAGGAATACTTGTGGCTTTGTATAGGGATAAAAAAATGTGGATACCAAACAGAGGGTGTTGCTCATATTGTTTTCCACGATAGGGTTTGGGTTCGGATACTTATTACACCTTTATTCATTCATTTATTCAAAGTCGAGAAGTTAGTTTTTGTCAATGTTGTAGGTTAAATACAAAATTTACATATCGTTGATAACTTTTATAAAAAAATGATGTTAGTTTCAACAATTGTAAACATATCAATTTTTAAGCATGAGTTGTATTTGATTTTAACATTAATGTTTCTTTCATACCCATCAAACATGTTCAAACATAATGTTTTTGACCGATTAGTTTAGTTAAGAAAAGACCCATGTACACGACCTCTTTTTTTCATTTAATCCTCTTTTACATTTCTAATATTTTACACACAAAAATCATCATTTTTTTAACTATGTTTTACATTTCTAATATTTTACATTTTGTATTTAAAAAAGCATTTAAAATTTTGTGATTCTAACAATGATTTACAATATCTCAATAGTTTTTTTTATTACTTTGGATTCATTTACCTTCTTATTCATTATAGTGTTTGTATTTATGTAAAAGTATTATTCTAAAAATTGCTTAGTTTTAAAAACTTGATATTAATTTTTTTAATAAATCCGTGTAATACACGGGTCTCACACCTAGTCATTATATTATAGGAACTATTTATGTAATTCAGTCAAATAGAGATATCGAATATGTATTACCGATCATGTTCTGTTTTATTTGATCTAAATAAAATTAAAAATAATGAATCGGTGTAACTAATTACATGTCATAAAATAGTAAACATGTCTCCTAAACATGCACATCATAAAATGGTAACCATGTCTCCCAAATATACACATACACATACACATGTCTCCTAAACATATGTCGAGGTTCGGTGCATCCAACTTTTATGACTTTTTATTGTATTATGATATAAATTTATATTTAAGTATACTCTTTGACATCGAATGATTAATTAGTAACAATATTACTATTTTATTGAACACGACTTTTATTGTACGAAATGTCGAGTTAATATAACATTTTATTTAATTATGAGTAATGGATTTGATTTGATTCGGCCGTAGGAAACTAATAACTAATGATTGACTCTTATTCTATTCTTGGTAACACGTAGGTAGAGCTCTAAACGAACCAAACAAACACAAATTAGACTTGTTCAAAACACCTATAGGTTGCGAGCCTGCTAGCATTCCACTGGACTGTCTATAATAGCCCGTGGTCCTCATCTATACTCCGCTAGATGACTGAATCAGCTTAAACATCGAGACTTTTCATCATTTATTTCAACATCTATATCATCTACCCATCTTTATCCGTCATAATAATATGTATAAAATACATATACAGTTTAAATCGAATAAAACATGTATATTTTGTTCATCCAGCATATATATCAAGAACACAGATAATATGCACACACAACACGTAATTTATATTAAATATTTCATATATATGTGTAATATGAAAGTAACTATACACTCACTTGTTAAAGTGATGACTCCAAAATCAGGCAGCGCTTCGCTTTTAACAATTTTATTTTCCTTCGACGAAACCTAGTATCATTATCACTAGATTTTAGTCTAATATTTATTGTGACTAATTATTAACTTAGGGTTGCTTTGAGCTATATTGTTTTTCTTGTATTATATAAGTGTTAAACAATACTTTTCAACTACTATGTACAGACAGTGACGAGACATGAAACACCAGAGGGAAGTACCATTTTGGCATTTAAGCTGTTCTGAAATCCAACAACCATATGCGACCCTTCAAACCAGATTCCCCGTACCGCGAGCAGTTAAAAGGTATTATAATAACACTTTGTATAATTTATAATATTTATCACATATATTGTTTATAGGTTCATAATAATGATAATGAACTTAAACATAAGATATACTTAATATAGGGTAAGCATGACTCACTTACAAGGGGGTTTAGCTAGGAGTTGGGCTCTGCGGGGGCAGAACTTCTGAGCCGAAAGCTCTTTTTCTCGGAGCCTTCTGGCGCTCCGAGACTCACCTCTAAAACTTGGGAAGTGCTAGGGAGTGGAAGGGGCTAAGAGGGGTATTTGAGAGAGAAAGAAGGGTTTTGGTGTGAGGAAATGAGGTTGTCCTCGCATCTATTTATAGGATGAGCGTTGCGCATACGCGGGGTGTAACTTTGGAGTACACTAGCCATACGACGTGGTGGGATGTCAAGTCCACCAAGCAAATTACACCCTTTGTTTGCAAATAAAATGTAATATAATGGTAAAAAGGGGTATCGATCCTCGGGGAAATGGTTGTATTCAATCACCAATGCAATCTAAAAGAACTAGTGTAAATAAACTAATTAACTACAATTAAACTAAAAAGGGGGGATGTGTTATGATTGCTTGAAAACTAAAAGACTTGAATAACTAGAAAACTTGCAATTAAGCAAGGTGATGAGATGCTCAAATGTTGAGAATAATTGGTTAACCAAGGCAATTCAACACAATGAACATTTGTGTGTTTATCATTAGGATTCAATACAAAGCTTATCATTCATCCCAAATTGGTTATAGCCATCATGAAGCATGGTATGTCAAGATTCCTCATAGGTAGTATGGAGGTTGGGAAAGCCCACAACACACCTTCTTAATCAAGATCAAGGGTCAATTGAAGCAATTGAACCCAAGAAGTCAATTAGCCTTAAGAATGAAGGAATCCCCAATTCCTAGAGGATGTCAATGCTTACACACCCATAAAGGAGCTATGATTCATAAGCTAGAGATGATTTCTACCATCATAAAGCTCTTGTTCTAAGTAAATTCAATGATTCAATGCAAAACCAAAGAAATAAACCAACAATTGCTCATTCAAGTACCAAGCTCATGATCAAAGTATCAAACAAGCATAAGAAATATGAACTAGAATCATAAACATGAGATAAATTGATAATCAACATGAATCCTTCAAAACCCACAAACATTCAATGGTTTTCAGCCAAAGTTAACCAAAATAGAGAAATTAGCCACTCATGGCAACTAAATAACTATAACAATAGTCTAATTGCATAAAGAAACTACCTAAGACTTGGAAAGATGAAAGGAAATGGATTTCTAGCTCCAAAATCGCCTCTTGCAGGTCTCCAATGGTGGAAAATCGAGAGTATGGCTGCTAGATCTGATCCCCCAAGGTTATGGTGTGCCAAATGACCAAAATACCCAAACTGGGCAGTTGCGCGGGTACCCGCGCGACGAAAATTCCACCCACGCAGATGTTGCTGTAATGCTATTGGTCCTTCATTCCTCCACTCCACCTTTCCACTACCAAAGATTCCTTTGGTCCCCTCCATATCCATGTGATTTAAACCAACCAATCATCATTTAGCTACAAAAATGGATGCTCCAAGCCCAAAAATAAAAGTTTATGACCCATCTTCACAAGTCCAAAATATTCAAGTCTTCAACTCTTTAAGGCCCAAGTCTTCTTTTATGGATCCGCCAAGCCCAATAGCGCCTCGAGAGCCCACAAGTCCGTCTTCACTCTAATCCACAATCGCGATAAGCTCCAAAACCCTGCAAATTCCTCATGCAAAATAAAAAGTCCCCGATACGATCCATGATGAAGAAAATATAGAATATACAATGCAATACTAATAAAAAGAGATAAAAATCTAAAATAAACTAATAAAAATAAGGAAATAAAATAAGATATCAAATCACCCCAAGCTTAAACCTAACTTGTCCTAAAGTTAGAACAAGACTAAAATGAACTCGGGATGAGCTAAACTAAAAAGGAAAAAGAAAGGTACCATAGAACTTGGTCAACATCAGTCAACATGGTCAGAATTAGTCCTTCATGGACCCTACGCATCTTCCAAATGTTCCCCGCTTTAGAGCCATAAACCACATTCTCAACCACTTGATGGGTGAATAGATCACAACTGGATGTAGTCGCGGTGTGCAAGACAAAGGAAACAGAGATGCGCCCAGTGGGGGCACTTTAAATCACCAATACAGACTATAGTGCACGAAGGAAAGGTGCCTCTTCACACACTATGATTCCTACATTTG